TCCTACTTTAAAATAATTATTTGTCATTTGAATAGGTTCAGGGTTCAAATTCAAAAGTTTTGAAAGTTTATTTTTAAAAAGTTTTGAAGATAGACCATGCAAAACACCTATCTCATCCCTATATTTTTTTATTTTTTAAAAGATTTTATTTATTTATTTATTTAAGAGAGAAAGCATAAGTGGGGAGGAAGGGGTGGAAGTGGAGAGGGAAGCAGTCTCCCTGGGATCTTGACCTGAGCCAAGGCAGACACTTAACCGCTTAACCAACTGAGCAACCCAAGCGCCACCTATTAAGGAAGGAAGGAGAGAGGGAGGGAAAAAATTGAGTTTGTTGTTGGAAAGATTCAGTTTGATGTGCCTGTGAAATACCCTACAAATAATTTCCCCTTGGCAGTGGCATGGGTTGATCTCGTGTTTTGTTTTAATGGCCTTAGTGGGAGAGAATTGGGTTACAAAGGAGCAGGTCAGAAAGACAACATTATGCTTGGCTCAGCCTTACTCAAGATCCTTAATTTCTCAGTGTGGCTCCCACTTCCTAAAGACAGTTCTTCCCAACTCTTGACACTCATGCATCACAAATAAACTCTCTGGGACACTGCACATTGCTGCAGGTCACTATCCAAATGGTGATCGGGTGGACAGTAAACTGGGGTTGAGTTGCCAACTTCTCCCTTCAAAATTATGGGCTTATTCCCCAGATTCAGGGAGTGCAGGCTCCTGACAGCTCTCAGCCTTTTCCCTCTATGAGAATTGCCCTCAGCTAAAGGAATCTGACTCACTTACCCACGGTCACACCACTCAAATCTCTTGCTGTGGGAGCATAAATGCCTGACAGCCATCTGTACCCACCACTCTTTGCTCTGAAGATGCTGCTGGCTGCTCCCATCCATGGACTGAACACAGTAGGGTACCAGTGCATGCCCAATGCCATGCTCAAACAATGACATTCATGACCACGGTCAATTAACTCTGCCAAGATGGTGACTCCTTTTTCTGCCGTAAGGGACCTCAAGTGCCAGGCAAGTGCATAGCTTAAAGTTCAATGGGACTTTTTCCATGTCTCTGGAAGTGCTAACCTTGTAGGTGTCAAAACCTCTAAAGCTGCTGAGGCTAGAGTTGAGGAGACCTGAAGCAAATACTGCCCAATTGGCTCACTGTGCATGACATTAGACAGGGCTACTTCTATTAACAAGCCTTGATTTCTGGACCCATGAATCCTATACATTGACAATGTAGCATATTATGATTGTCATTGACTTAGATGTACATGCATCCTGTGAATTGTGTAGTCAGTATGTGTTGTGTATTTAAATGCCTGCAGTAAATATGATCACACTCTTGGAAATCAAACATGTTCCGTTATTTTCCATTAAACAAAAATTTTGTTACCTAACCACAATCCATGGTTTCTTTATGCAGTGTTCTACCTCTATCCTCACCTTCCCTGACAAACTTTATAGGTGGTATATATTGGCACCTCTATTTCCTCCATACTCACCCATCAACCCACTCTACCTGGATTGGTTATGCCCTTACCCCTCACTTTAGAGGTAAAAAATGGAGCCCTCCCTAATATCAACAAAGGCCTCCATGTCACCAGCAAATGTCAAGGGATATTTTCAGTCTTGACTTGGTTAGTCCTTTCAACAGAACCAAAACTATTAACCACTCTGCTTTTCTTCAGAAAGAACCTCTTTGCTCCATGACACTGCAGACACCAAGTGATCTTTGAAATCTTCAAAGACTTTTCAAGGGATGAATATCATGGAACGTTCACTCCTGGTTTTGGTTCTTGTAGGAGTTAAATGTTCCTTAGGGGATACCTTGTCATTTAAGTCAAACCAAAGAGAGAAGAATTTCTCCTTGAAGAAAATACTTTCATCTTGGCCCATTGTTGTCTACACAGACATAGCATTGTCTGAAATTTTTCCATTCTTTCATCTTTCTATCCCAGAGAACTGAATTGTTCAGAGACAGGAACATCAGTAGAACAATTTATTTAATGAGGAGCTCTAAGAACTCAACTTTGAGATGATAATAACAGATCCTTGCTGCTCCTTCCTATAATTCTCTGTTGCCAGCCTAGGGGAAAACCCAAATGGGCTTCTCCAGGACAGACGGCAGAGAAGAGAAAGCTTCAGTGATAACCCTCAGCGATGGTAGGATCATTGCTTCCCAGTCAAGACTGGAGGAATACGAGGGAAAGGGCTGAGAGAGTGGGCACAGGGCTTTATTTGTAAAATAATGAAATAGTCCCGTATTTAGTTAGTCAGCAAAGCTGAAGTCTCTGTAGTTCAAAGGTGCTTTACTTGCTACTTGTCAGTCTTTTCCAGCTCTTGCTAAGCTTCCTTATCTCTCTCTTTCAGAATTTAGAGCCTCTCTCCAGTAAGAGTTGTTTTCCAGTGTGTTTCCTCCTCTTCTCTACTCTTTCCCATGAATTGTAAGCTCCTGTTCAATTGCCTGTCCCATCATTTATTCATTAACTACTCACTGCAGATCTATTAAGCACAAGGTATTAACTATTTTGTTCCTCGTGTGATTGAATTTTTCTATTATATTCCCTGTTTTTGCTGGCAGATATGACTTACTGATAGCACTTAATAGTTCTGTATTATTTTGTTTTCCTTTAGTGTCCACTATATATCTACAAATGATGTCATTATTTCTGGCTTTTGGCTAATTTCCTTTTCTCATCACTCTCTTTAAATGTTCATGAGAATGTTGAATGATTGAAGTTGGAATGGACTGCTTGGCCTTTTCATGAATTGAACACAAATATTTTAGTGTTTTAATGTAGAGTACCCTGTTGGCTGCAGTTTTCAACAGCTATTCTTTATTGGGTTAAGAAATTGTTCTTAGTCTCCTCCTTAATGAGAGGCTCTATCCTGACAGCTAACCACAGGAATGGCTGCTACATTTTCTCAAATCCATTTTCTGTTGTGATTATGATTATGATTCCTCTTCATTTCCCTATATTTGTGATGAAATGTTTTTGCAAACCTCCTAGCATTAAATCATCTTTCCATTCCTAGAATAGGTATGACTTTTTCATGATATATTACTCTTTTAAATAGGTATAAATGCATTGCATTTAACCTTACTATTCTATTTTGTGTTCACATTCAGGTATATGATGAGTTTGAAGATTCCTTTTTTGCATTATAGTTGACGCTTTTGGTCTCAATCTTTATTATACATCTAACATTTGCATATGTTGAACAACTACTATGCACAGACACTATGTAAGTCCCTGGAAAGACAATGGTGAGCAAAAACAGTCTCCATTTCTGACCCACAAATATATATATATAATTACTAACATGATAGTTACGTTAAGGAATAGTACAGGGTGCTCCACATGTGCTCCTCACATACTCTGTCCCTCCTGAACCTCACTTTGTGCTCTCCATCTCACTGGCCTCTCAAATCCCTTCCATTACCAAGCTCACCCAACCATGGGAAAACTGCAAATTCTGTTCTTTCTGCCCAAAATGTGTTCCTTTTACTTATTTCTCCTAATTAACAATTACCCATTCTTCCTCTAGCAGCTCAAATATTCATATTTCAGAGAAGTCTTTTCTACCCACCTTCCTAGGCTAAATTGTTCCTCCATGATTCTGTTTTCCTTTTAATTAATTAACATTCTATAGACATTAATAATACTAAAACTTTTTCTATTATAGAAGATGTAAACATTTATTTTCACATCTTAAACTTGCCTTTCAATTTTTAGGATGATTTGATTTATAGAAGCTTCAAATATTTTTTATCTTTTTTTTTTGCAATTAACTCCTCTCATTTTTAATATAACACATCCCCACTTGTGAGCATGAACATACAAGCATACACTCTCACACATGCTTTGTATTTTATTTTAATGATTTGTGATTTCCCCCCTTCTTATTTATGTAATCCATATGCTTTTTCCTCTTTCTTGGAAGAATCCACCTGGCAGGTGGTATCTGAAAGAGGGAGGCATAGGGTCTTCCTTAACTAGAAGTGCTACATGGTAGTCAAAAGAGGTAACAGACCTGTTGTCTTTCTAATGATCAGAATTCCATCTTTGATGGCTGCCCCAGTTTAAGTAGAATATTGATAAATGACAGCCATCCAAGACAAAAATTTTGTGATGGTAAGAACAGAAGCTCACATTTGTCAAGTGTCCTTTGTATGTCACAAGAACCACACTAGAAACACTACATGCATCATCTCATTTAATTCACTCACCAGGCTTGCAATGTAGGGAATATTTACTACTCCCATTGTGGAGGTGAGGTATCTGCAGCTACAAGAGATTAACTAACTTTGTTAGGGTCACACAGAGAGTAAGTTGGTAGACCAAATTTTTATTCTAGAAAGTCTGACTCAAGATCCCTTTTTTTTAATCACAGTTCTATAATACTGTATTTTGGGACAGTTAAATATCAAAAAGTAATTGTCATAAAAGGAATACATTAATAAAAATAGTTATTATTTATTGACATCCTACTGTGCACAATAGCATTTTGAATCATTATAAAGAAGGTAATAGCAGTAACCACATTTTTTAGGGGAAAAAAGGACACTTTGAGATTTAACTGTGACATCAGTAGGATACATCAGGTCACAGAGTGAAGGTTGTTTGAGTTGAAAACCTATCTTAATCACTATGATAGGGTTATTAGAATAAAGGAAGTTACCAAAGAAAAGACCTTAAATGTCTTCAATTACTTTGGAAGATCATATCAAAGAAGAAATCAGTTTATATCCATAGATTTGAATAGAAGAATTAGAACCAGTGAGTAGCAGATAAAAAAGAGAAAGATCTCTGCTAAGTTGAAGACGGTCTGAATGATTATGCACATTTAAAATGGAAATGGACTACCACCTCAATGAGGGGATCACTGGCATTGGAAGGACTCACGGAGGGTAAAGGATGCCCATGCAAAATGGGATCAAAGGTGAATACTAGGAGGTGTCAGCTGGCTGTTCATTGAAGGTTCTTTTGCCTCCTTCTCCAGCAAACACACCAGCTACATGGGAGGAGGAAACCAGACAGAAGTATCAGTATTCCTCCCTCTGGGCCTCTTAGAAGATCCAGAACGCAGCCTCTCCTCTTTGGCTTGTTCCTGCCCATGTATCTGGTCACGGTGCTGGGAAACCTGCTCATCATCCTGGCAGTCGGGTCTGACTCCCACCTCCACACCCCCATGTACTTCTTCCTCGCCAACCTGTCCTTTGTAGACATCTGCTTCACCTCCACCACCATCCCCAAGATGCTGCTGAACATCCAGGCACACAGCAAAGACATCTCCTATATAGGATGCATCACTCAGGTGTATTTTTTTATGGTTTTTGCCGGAATGGATGATTTCCTCTTGACGGTGATGGCCTATGACAGGTTTGTGGCCATCTGCCACCCCCTCCATTACACAGTCATCATGAACCCACGCCTCTGTGTCCTCCTGGTTCTGATTTGTTGGCTCACCACTTTCTGGGTTTCCCTGATTCATATTCTACTGGTGGGGCAGCTGACCTTCTGCCCAGGCACGGAACTTCCACATTTCTTCTGTGAACTGGCTCAGATTCTCAAGGTGGCCCTGCTCGGACACCCTCATCAATAACATATGCTTGTATGTTGCCATTGCCCTGCTGTGCATGTTTACTCTCACTGGGATCCTCGTTTCTTACTCTCAGATTGTCTCCTCCTTAATGAGGATGTCCTCCTCTGAGGGCAAGTATAAAGCATTTTCCACTTGTGGGTCTCATCTCTCTATGGTCTCTTTGTTTTATGGCACAAGCCTGGGGTCTACCTCACATCTGCTGTGACCCATTCTCCCCAGAGAAGCTCGGTTGCCTCAGTGATGTACACTGTGGTCACCCCCATGCTGAACCCCTTCATCTACAGCCTGAGGAACAAGGTTGTGAAGGGAGCCCTGCGAAGGCTCCTCAGTAGAGTAGCCTTGTGTCCATGATGGGCCACTGGCCTCAGAACCAAGTGGACATTGCGGGCCGCAAAGGCAAATGTGAACTTAAATCTGTTTTTTTCTCCTCTAATAGACATGTTTGATTTATCCAATTCCCAAAGCATCCATGACTTCCCTTTTATTTGTTTTTGTATTAGTCTCTCCTCAACAACTCCCTCCATAGTCCTTTTTTACTTTTCTTCTCTATATGCTGTCCACAAAATTCCATGTTTGGCCAGCTTTCTTGCAGTCATTCTTAAGATTTCTAACTTTAGGCTTAAAGTACTTATATCAAGTGCTGCTGTGGTTGCCCCAAAAATTATCCTCTAAAACATTGATGTTCTTCGGGAGCCTGGGTGGCTCAGTTGTTAGGTGTCTGCCTTCGGCTCAGGTCATGATCCCAGGGTCCTGGGATTGAGCCCTGCATTGGGCTCCCTGCTCTGAGGGAAGACTGCTTCTCCCTCTCCTGCTCCCCCTGCTTGTGTTCCTGCTCTCACTATGTCTCTCTCTGTCAAATAAATAAATGAAATCTTTTAAAAATAAATAAATAAGGGCACCCGGGTGACTCAGTTGGTTAAGCGACTGCCTTCGGCTCAGGTCATGATCCTGGAGTCCCGGGATCGAGTCCTGCATCAGGCTCCCTGCTTAGCAGTGAGTCTGCTTCTCCCTCGGACCCTCCCCCCCCATGCTCTCTCTATCTCATTCTCTCTCTCTCAAATAAAAAAAAAAAAATCTACTAAAAAATAAATTAAATAAAATAAAACATTGATGTTCTTCACCTTCATTTGTTTGTGTGCTTGTTTTCCCCACAAGAAATAGAATGAAATCATACATGGTCACACCAAAGTGTTCACCATATCAGAACTGTGCCTGTTTGCTCCTTTACATGTTTGACTTTACATCATCTTGAAAAAATGTCCTGGAGACATTTCCTCTCATTCACCCCGCTTCTCAAAAGAATAGAGTGAGATTGAGTTGGACTATAACCTGGCTAGCTGACATGGAGTTTCTATCCTACTTTTTTTTTTTAAGGATTTTATTTATTTATTTATTTGACAGAGAGAGACACAGCGAGAGATTGAACACAAGCAGGGGGAGTGGGAGAGGGAGAAGCAGGCTTCCCGCGGAGCAGGGAGACTGATGCGGGGCTCGATCCCAGGACCCTGGGATCATGACTTGAGCCGAAGGCAGACACTTAACAACTGAGCCACCCAGGTGCCCCTATCCCACTTCTTATATGAACAGTGATGTGATTTTCAACTTCAAAATAGGAATCTAGATTTCCATGATTATATTCGTAGTAATAGGCTGCATAGGAAAACTGAAAGGTAGCTTCATTCTTTGTGATCCTTCCACCTGTTCTTCCTTTCTTAAATTTCCTTCTTTCACTTGACTTTTACTTCCCATATATGCAATTTTAAGATACACCCTCTAAGATCCTAAAACATGTAATAATGACTACAATAGAATAAGAGTTATTTCCTCACATGGTTTGATTTTTTTTCTGGGACTCTCTGGAGGTGCCATCAGGAATGGTAGTTACACACATGTGGAATGTGTTCAGAACTTAGCTCATTTGAGAAGAATGTTGATAGAATTGAGTGGAAGGATGGAGTAGTAGATGCTATCCACATTTCTCCCACATTCCCTGGGATCCTCCTTACATGTCCACTGCATGACTGCCAATTGCCAGCCCCAGTCAGCACCAACTTTGCCCAACAGGTGGTGGCAAAAGTACCAGGGAATTATCCCCGCACAAAGACAACCCTTGATGGAGAGCTATGGGGTTCATCATGTCTTTCACCCATTGACTGGGATAATTCTGAGGTTTGTATTTTGTAGCATTTTCCAGAATTTCCCCACAAGATGAAAACTCTGCTCATTCCCTGTGGTAGCTAACTTAATATAAACTTAATTGGATGTATTTTTTTCCATGTTTCTCTTCTCCTCTCTCTCACCCATGTTCCATATTCCTTGTTCCTTCCAAAAAATGCTTGCATATAAATCTTTGCCTCAGCCTCTGCTTCTCTGGGAATCCAAGATAAGACAAGTGATAAAGCCTATAATGTATCAAGACAATATCATGAAAGGAGAAACTTTTGGAGAAAAAACAAAGAGAGTTAATTATTGGGAACATAGGATTATAAAATTACTCAAAAATTAAAGTTTGTTAGAAAAGACTTATTTGATGTGGCTTCAATTCACTTTGATTCCATTAAGTCTAATCCAGTGTGAATTTATTTTCTGCTGTGTACACATTGAGGAGGGAACCAAATGATTGCAATACAGAGTGGTGAGCATAATATTGGTGTGTCATAGATTCTGTTGAAAACAAAGGTAAAAGTTTTCAACCCACCTTGAAGAATTTCAAAAAAAGCTCTTTAAATTCTTATTTTTAAAAATATTTTTATTGGGGCATCTGGGTGGCTCACTTAAACATCTGCTTTCAGCTCAGGTCATGATCCCAGAGTCCTGGGATCAAACCCTGAATCAGGCTGTCGGCTTCCTCTTGTAAGGACCCTGATGATTACATTGAGCCAACCCAGATAATTCAGGGTATATTTCCCAACTCAAGATCCTTAACTTAATATTATTTACAAAGTGGCTTTTGTCATCTAAAGTAACACATTCACAAATTCTGGAGATTACTAGCTGGACATCTTTGGGAGGCTATTAATCAGCTTACCACGGGAGATGTGTGAGTTAGAATTTGCCAACAATTGGTTGATAAGTCCTTGAGCTGAGAATGTGGAGGGTCTGTCACAGCACTCCTTGCTGGTTTTCAGTGGGCATGATCATCTCATGATCCTGTCTCACATAAAGATGAGGTTGCACTAGACAGGTGAGCTTAGACATCAAGTGACAGAAGAGAATTCCCTGATTCATCTAAACATAACCGAGCAGAGGTTCAGCTGGACACTGGCACAACTAGACCCTGGGACTCAAACACCATGAGGATTTCCTTTCAGGTTATCAGCTTTGTTTTCTCAAACTGACCACTTTCAAATGGAAAGAGACACGGAGACCAGCAGCTCTCACAGCTCACACCTCACAGCTGTACTATTTAAGAACTGGAATTACTTTGGTTACTCATGTGCCAAAAAAAAAAAAAGAAAAGAAAAGAAGGCAGAAGAAGAAAGAAAGAAGAAAGAAGAAAGAAAGAAAGAAAGAAAGAAAGAAAGAAAGAAAGAAAGAGAAAAAGTAAAAGAAAAAAAGGGGGAAAAATCTCAGGAAATGATTCTGATCTGCACAAATATGTTCTCTTTCCAGCTTGGGCCAATCAACTGTGGTCAGGAAACAATGTCATTAGCAACCCTTTTAGAACAACATTTATTTGTTTACTGAGTTTTTACTGTGTCAGTCATATTTTAGCTTCTACCACTGTAAGGATAAACAGGTACAGGTGTATGGGAAGAATGGGTTGTCATATTAAAATCCTGTTCTTAATAAACCTTATTGAGTACACTACCTTTGTGAGAAAGGTGAATGCACATCTAGGGGAGGAGTGCCCTGGACAGATGGTAAGGTTAATACAAAGACCCTGAGGTGGCGGTTTCCCTGGGGAGGATGTGGCTGGAGTGGAGAATGGGGGCATAATGCAAGAGGAGGACAGGTATCCACAGCGATCATGTGAGGTTTTCCCTGCCTTTGAAAGACTTTTGCTTTCATTTGTTCTGAGTTAGGTGAGGAGTCATTTCAGGGTTTGGGGCAGACGCATGACACCATATGACTTAGGATTTCAAAGATCATTCTAGCTGCTGGGTTGAGAATGGATTGCAGGGTGTGAGGATGCCTGCTTGGAGGCGACTGCAGCAAGGCAGGTGAAATACATATAGCTGGGGCCAGGGTGGTGCTAGTAGTGTAAGGGTTGAGAAGTGGTCCTTGGGGCTATGCTCAGAAGGCAGAGCCAAGAGGATTTGTTCTCAGTCAGGATATGGGTGTGAGATAAAGAGGGGAGCCAAGATTGGCTCCAGGGTTTGGAGCCTGAACAATGAAAGAATGGAATTGTATCCATTGAGAAAGGGAGGGCTATGATGGAGCAAATATGAAAGGAAAGTGGATATCAGAAGTTCAGGTTTTGAAAATTGAGAATGTCAAAATTGAGATATTGCATATGGATAAATTTTATATTATGCCACTTATATGAGGTACCAAGAGTAGTCAAACTCACAGAGACAGAAACTAGAATGGTGGTTGTCAGGAGCTGGAAGAAGGGAGGAAATAGAAGGTTAGTGTTCAATGGGTACAAAGTTTCAATTTGGGAAGATAATGAAATTTTGGGGATGGATGGTGGTGATGGTCGCCCAACAATGTGAATACACTCAATGCAAGTGTGTAGGAATGTACACTTCAAAATTACTAAAATGGTACATCTTATGTCATATAAATCTAACCACAATACAAAACATGTAGCACAAAAAAAAATTGAGATTTA